GTCGGAAGTTCCCGATACTTCAGTTCGATTTAGCACTTGTGACTGCATATATATCGTGAAAATCTCAGTGGCGACCTCGTGGACCCGGGTACGAGGTCCCCCAATACTTCAGTTCGACTCAGCATGTCAAACTGTATATTTACAGTTAAAATCGCATTGGCGACCTCGGAGAGCCGGGTACGAGGTCTCCGAGTACTTTAGTTCGACTTCGAAAAATTCCTCCCTCTTTTCGACCACAGCAAAATTCCTCCCTCTAAAAATTCCTCCCTCTTTTTGACCACAGTGAAATTCCTCCCTCACAAAATTCCTCCCTCTTTTTGACCCTGGCCTATCGAATGTGCGTCTTCCGAATACGGCTTCAGCTTCGGAATGGGTGCGTATGAATTGTGCGACTTCGTAATACTGAATTCCGTAAAGGTCATGGAGGGACGACCGAAGACAAACATGATTCGCTTCCTCCCTGGTAAGATCATCTTTTGACGAGATGCGACGCCTTTATCAATCCAATTTTTTCTAGTTTTGTGACTCTGTTGGGCAGTGATGATCCCAAAGGTCATCCAACTTCTCTTCGTTACTTCAATTCAACTTCCATTAAAGGTCATGGAGGAACTTAGCCGTTTTTGCGTTGGCTTCCAAGCACTTTCCGCTTGACTCCATGGTAAAGTCCATCTCATCGCACATCCCATTTCAACATGCCTCGAGCGGCCATAGTGCCGGCAAAGTTCACCGTCGCATCTGCGATGGGGCCGGCTGACTACCGAATTAATTTTACCCCATATATCATTTCCACATGAAATCTTTCTCTTTTTCGCCGCTTATGGCCCACGTTCGTAACAAGAGATCCGGTTGATTACCGTAGTTTCTCTCGTCTGATTTTTTGAACACTGAATCGCTGAAACAGGGGAGCCGACTGTAATGCCGTGACAACTCCGCTGGGACCGACTATTAGACCGAATCAATTTTATCCCACATATTAATTCCACATAATCTTTTCCTCTATTTCTGTCAATTGTGACCTTCAACATTCTTCGTGAGAGTTTGCCGACTAATCCGCTGTAGTATCTCTCTTCAATTTGACTTTTCCTGCAATACAAATGCTGCAAACAACAAAACACAAACGACAGTTTTCGATGATATTTCACGTGACCTTTATACTTAACCATCATATTCGCTTCTGATGAACTTTCGTTACTTTAACCTGATGAATTTCCAGTCACATTATTAAGCTCATTCGCCTCATTCTGACGTAGTGACCTTTCAGGTTTTGACATTTGCTCCAGTTCAAGTGCTCCGTCGATAGTCAAGCTTTCAATATAGCTTCTTATCCGTTCCCCATTTTTTCGATATTCCGTTCTCCCAACTCGTACTGAACTGCCATAGTATTAGAAAGGCCATCCCATGACACTCCCTTTGTTCCACCAATGCCAGGTATTGCCGCGTCGGTGATGGCTATCGTTGAATTCAAACCCATCTTTAATCGTGACGTACGCAGCAGTGCTGGAAGATCCGAGCATGTAATCTGGTACGTCGGTATCTGACGGCTTCTGGGTGGGTGGCGAGTCCGACGTTTCCATACTATTATCCTAGTTTCGACGATCGTTTCCATACTATTATACTAGTTTCGACGATCGTGAGTTTTGCCAATGAACTCGATGACGACAGATCCGATGGCGAATCTTCGCGCTATGCTTTTCCCTTCGGGGTCACTAAACGTTTCGGTTCTAGTGTCACTTGACCTTCCGGTGCTTTCATTAGGACATGGTCTGGAGTCTGATGACCTTTGGCTGTTTCTGCTTTCTCGAAACTCTTGACCTTTCGATTTTTCGTATGGACTTCAGTCGGAGTTAGTTGACCTCTCTGTTTTTCCAAACTCTCCAAAATCTCATGACCCTCAGTTGACTCACGCTTTTCTGCTGTTTCTGTATTGTTTTTTTGTGAGTTGATGTGGCCTTTCTTTCCTTGAATAGGCGCTTCGCTCTGATACGGGTGACCTTTCTTAATCGCAAGCAGACACATTGCCGCAATATCAAGAGTGTTTCTTTCTTCGTTCTTTTCATGGCAGCGGTGACCTTTCTTCCCTCTTTCCGTTATGTACACGTACGCTGTCGGTGACCTTTTATGCTGGTTCTGTAAGCTTTTTCCGTTTCTAGATCTTTTTGGCTCTGGCTGGGAGTCGAGTCCGTCGAGGTGACCTTTCTGATTTCACTGCATGGTCTGTACTGATCTTCCGTGGTGGTCGAAAATCTGTGTCCAGACCACGTCACCTAACGAGATCGTCAGCTTTACGTTTGCTCCCAAGTCTTCTGATCTTTCTGTAAGGACTTCTGCGAGCATTTTTCCCATCGTTGGGACATCGTTCCCTTCTGCTTCGGGTATCAACTGAATCAAACGCTGCAAGTCTCTTTTTGATTTTTCGGCTATGTCTGCCATCTGTTTCTCTGTCAAAGGTTCAATGTCGACGGCGTCCGGTACAATTTCTCCAGTAACGGAAAAGGATAGAGCCGGTTCCAGTTCGCAGTGGCATTTCGAAATGGCAACTCTTCCCCTGCTCTTGTACGTTACTGTAGCTGAGGGAGGGGTGTCAATTGTGTCCCTTCTCACGCCGTACTGCAAAAGTTGCTTGTTTTTGTGCTTATTTGTCGTCTGGAGAGCCTTGTTCTCATCTTCGAGGCGCTTATTCTTTACGGCGAGGTCATCCTTCTCTTTCCTTAACTGTTGATTATCCTGATTGACCTTTTGCATATGATCATGCATTTCGAAAGTTCGTTCCTTCACGACTTTTTCCTTTTTAGTCTGCATCTTATTGATGTGTTAGGCCAGCTGAGTCATGTTCAAGTTGCTGATACTGTTCAGCTTCAGATTTCAGCTGAGTTCGGACCTCAGCCAACTCATCATCTTTGATCATTGCGGTTCTCGTCATTTCGTAGATTTCGTTGTTAAATCTTGCGTTTTCCTGCTTCTGTTGAGCCACTTGTTGCTGCCATTCTTTACCTTCAGCTCCGATGCCGTAACCATTGTATCCAAAAGGCGTGCTTCCTTCTCCCACTTTAGGCCTTCCTTTGTGACCTTTTGCATGTCTTCTATGATCTTCGTATTTTCTTCAGTGACCTTTTTGATCTCATCTTTCAATCGTTCGCCTTCAGTGGCTGTGAGATCTTTCAAGTCCCGTGCCACTCGAACCGCTTCATCTCGTTTCAGCTCAGCCTCATCTGCACGTTTTTGATGACCTTTTGATTCGTCCTGCAGAGTTCTAATGTTTTCCATCTCGCAGCTTTTTTTTAGATCGTTCCTGAGCTTAAACGTCTCCGTTGCTAACGTCGTTAATCACTGTGTTACTTCTGCGAAGTTGGCCGCATACTCATCTCGTTTAGCCTCAGCTTCGGTGACCTTTCGACGCAGTTGATCACATTCATCTTTCAGTTTGGCTAAGTGTCGTGACCTTTCAACTGATTCTTCGGACATGCTGTCGTTAAGATCACTGACTGGGAGATGACCTTCTATCTCTCTGTCATCTGCCATTTTCAGGTAATCTTCCGCAACTTCTTTTAGTCGCTCATATTTGATTTTCCACTCATCCGCGTTGCTTTTTAGGTCACCCTGTTGCTGTTCCAGTTCGTATAAGCGGGTTTCAAATGTCAGCAGTTTGTCTCGATATTCCTGTTTCTTTTTCGTCGCCTGGCTTTCTTTGGCGCCACGTTCGTTTTTCAGTTCTGTACGCGTCTCCTCAAAGTTGACGTGGGACTGTTCGGTGACGGAGATCGTACATTGATGAACTTTCCCGTCCGGGTTCGTTCTATTAAATCTTCAGGTATTTCTTTGAATGGTGTTCTTTCTTCTGCTCGGTCAGCATCCTTCATCGCGGTTCGGAATGACATGTTTATCGTTGTGTCATCTTCGGTGAGGTACGACTCGTTATCTCTGCGGTTGAACATCCTTTCTTCCATTGTTTCGTCTAGCGACATCGGACTTTCCCAGATGTCGTCTCCTGTGACCTTATCATGACTGAAAGTTCACTCACTTCAGCTCATTGATATCCTCCTGTGTGACCTTTGGATTATCGTCGTGTTCCGATTTAATTAGACTAACGTTTTTATCCTGCTGAGTTATAGCAGGGCTAGCTATTCCATCCTTTTGCGATGTCCCAGCTGCTTCCGTTGTTCGTACAGTGGCCGTTCCTTTTTTGGTGACCTTTGATTGGTACACCTCGTTATCTCCCGCCGCAGACGCTTTGCTTTGGTCCGCGGGATCCTTTGCTTCCCTGACTGCTGTTAGATGTCAGTTCCGCATTATCTTTGTCCATGATGATCGGATAACTTGGACGCTCCTGTCAATGTATCTCACACACACGTTATAATTTAATCGTTCAAATTTGTAAAGGTCACTTTTCGATTGACAAATTTCGTCTAAGTCCCGTTCTAAAAGTCACTTTTTCGTTAAAAAGTTCGAGAGATTTGCCCGTTCAGCAATGGAATCCTTCAGTTACTGATGTTACTGTGCTGATAAAAACCTCAACTTCAACAAAGGAGTTCAATAAAGTTCAATAGAGTTCAATAAAGGTTACCGTTTGGTCAATTTTGATCTTAAAGGTTACTTTTTGGATAACTCGCTTCGATTGAAGTTGGCTGTTGCAGGTCAGTTTCAATGGAAAATTCCTAATTGCACTGTTTACTGCCTTACTATTAGACAGATAGCTCAATTAAATCAATTTAGATTTCAACCAGTCACAGCTTAGATAACCGACCAACCAGGTTCTTTCGTTAAATATTCTGATCAGCCTGACGTCACGGTCAACGAATAGACGAGCGCACCGTGTGCAAATACTCCGCCTCTAGCTACGCTCAGCTCAGTACGGACCAATGGAAATTGCGCTTTGTACACTTTAACCAATCCGTTAATTAATTACGGTATTTTACCTGTTTACCGTCCGTTCCACGAAAAATGATCCAAATAATCCAGGTGATCCAAATTACGATTTCTTCTTCCGATGAACACACCCAATGTGTCGATGGCGCCTTCCTCAACGACTATTCAGCCTTCTGCTATGCTTGTCAGACAGCAGCAGATCGCTTTACACCTAATTTGGTGGAGCGCGTAAAAACTGATCCGGGCACCTCTTTCGGTGCTGCCACTTGTGGCTTCTCCGCGCTGGTGCCCCACGGCCTCGATCCCTTTGTGGGATTCTAGTCGCGTAACAGGGGAAACAGCTCAAGCTCTCCGTTTTGAGAAACCTGCGCCGCAGCCACCTGTCTTCTGAGACTCTTGTACAGCAAGGGTTACAGCACAGGAGCAAGTTCTCCGTTTCGAGATACCGGACTCTGTACCGCCGCCAATGCTGGATCCGATCGATGAAGGAAATCACACCGCTTATGGTGTGTACAATGGAAAACCAGTGCGTTACTGGTGCAAACTAATCGATAATGATCCAGATCGATCACAGGCCGTTTCGCCTGACAGATAAACAAATCAAATTCAGAAACCGTAGGTACGGCTCTGCTATCATTCAAAGTGCGATTCGCGGTGAATCCAAGGGCGAAGATCTCGGCGGACAAGATCCCGCTTAGTGAGCAATGCTATAAGTATTGCGAACGGTGCTACAACACACGACATACGATAGCTATTGCAAACTTTACTGACTGTTGACAAGTGAAAACTCTCAGCTAGCGGACTGTTCTCATATCAGCATTCACATCCGCATTCGCCACGTGGTGAGCACCTGACAGACAGAATCGGCTCTAAGAGTGTGCACAGAAACGGAAACTGGGATTTTGGACATGCATCCATGCATTCTAATAAATACGAGCGTATTCCTGGCCGGCCGGAATGGAAACAACTGCTTTTCAGTGAATCTTTTGTAATGTTTGGACGCATCCGTGTGGTATCTCCGGCGACAATTGAAGTGGTAGCCGACGTCGTAGTTGTTCGTAAGACTACTCCGCTTAGTTCAGACTGGATAATAAAACCATGCCTAAAGAAACGGTTACGCGTTTAATGGGTTTGGATAAATTCGATACCACCTTTGCTTTACAAAAGTTGTGGGACACAGATCCAGCGATGTGTCACTCTGCTACAGAGAAGATGGAAGCCCGATATCAGTCTATCGTTGCAGAATGCAAAAAAGTCATTGGAGATTTGGAAGCGGAACAGGATGCTGCATTTGTATTTTGTGGATACGGACAACTGGTTTGATGAGAACGGAGACTAAAGCACTCAGCGACAAAAGTAATTGCTGGGTATTTTCCGATTTGTAACAGAACTGGTGGAACACACACTAGTCAAGCGGGAAAAAGCTATGCGCCATTCTGACGGCTTGCTGAGATTTTGCGGAGTTTTTAAGAATATCTCTACGGCTGCGTATACTTACTCTCGGAGCTTCTTGTTTGAAATTTTACCTCACATCAGTCACTTGCGGGACTGTGCTTCGGCTAACTCCATGAGTGAAGGTATTCAAGAAGAAAATATGCTGAAACTTAAGACAATTTCCGAATCCCTCGACGACAAGCACCTGGATGTCGAGCTGATTAGTGGCCAGACATTCACAGTTGAAAAACTGGAGTACCGAGGAGGGGAAATAGTCGGAGTTGCAGAGAATCAACAGGATGTTGTTGCAGCTAAATATGGGCTGCTATTGGTTTTGCAAAGCTTCACAGGCAAAGTCAGAAAGATTTTGACATACTATTTTGTGAAAAATTTTGAAGGCTCGGAAATGGCAGAAATTCTTGAAAATTTGCTGATCCTGCGTACAAGAAGAACGAAATTTCGGCCTTTGGTTTGCTCATCTGACAACGGCGCCGAAAACATGGGATGCCATTCTCTTTTTATCAGTAACAAAAATTAGTTTCCTTGGAGATTTCCAAATCCTTGCATAGAAGGCGCATACATTTATATCCTGTTGTACATAATTCATTTGTTGAAGCGGATTTGGACAAACTGTGTTTCGAAAAAATAACTCTTTTGTCATCGAAGTAAGTAATATAGAAGTGTAAAAATTGTGCAACATAATGTGTAATTGTGTAACGTAAAGTGTAATAATAAATATAAATAATATACAGGGGCAATAATTTTCGGTTCTTTTGCAACGTATATTAAAATAGAGTAAAATTTAGCACTCTTGAAAATTTGCTTTATTTTTCAGGCTGGCATTCATCGGGTGGATTTGACGCTGCTTTTCCAGATTTACGAAATAGAACGCGGTTCCGTGATTAAGAATGCTCCAAACCTCACAGCAAAGCTGTTCTTCCCAAACGGATTTGAGAAGATGGATGTTTCTAACGCCAGAAAGGTGATAACCGATAACGGTTATGCGGCTCAAACTGATAATTTCTTTATCAGTAAAATTGAATTGCAGATATTCTGTTCGCACCGTACTCTGGGTACATTAAGGATGTTAACTGATAATACGGATCACGGTTTGCTCACAGAGCTATCCAGGATATGTGGAAAAAATCAGGAACAATGTGCTAATGATTTTAACGTGCTGGTGTGGTTCATCGAAACCGTGCGGAAAATTGTTATGCCCCTTACGGTGTTGAGCCCTCGCCAAGCGGCACGGTTAAAACAGCCACTGTACGAGGCAATTACGAGTACTATGGAAAATATCGATACCGTATTTTCTGTAAGTTTTATATCATGCTGATTCAAAAATTGCAAATAATACATTTTAAATAATTTTCAGAATATGAAAGCAGCTCTTGCTGAACTTTGCTTTTCCGCTAACTGGAGGAAATCACTACCTAAACCGACGTGGACTGGTCTGCACGTTACTGTATACGGCTTTAAAGTTGTAGCAAGGCACTTGCTGAATTCTCGGTTCGATTTCATCCTACCCGGGAAAATGACTAGCGATCCAGTTGAGGTAGTAGCAGGTGCAGCATTTCCCAGTTTAATTATAAGTTAGTTTACCTGGTCAAAACTCTAACTGATTATCGATTCCAACATGTTTCAATTTTCAGAGAATATATTTTAAACATTTAAGTATGGTTCCGGTAAAGTGACTGTCGTGAAAGTCAAGGAAGAAGTGAGAAAACTGGAGTCGCTGCAAAATTTGACGGGTACGACAAACGTGAGCCGATTGGGGCGTCAAAAACGGAAAAACAATGGTCTTTCTTTCCATACGTCTCCGCTGGAAAAGAGGCGCACGACTGGCCGATCGCTACGCAGAGCGGTATTTGATTTTGGAGCAGATCTTGAGAGTTGAGCTTGTGCGGAACTTCGGAGATGTATTGTTGGCTTTGCGTTCAGAAAATTTTTTGGAGCTGCAGAAAGAAATCCCTACGTTATGGAGCTCACCAGAAATAGTTGAATTGGTTTGTAAGAGCCCGCAGAGCGTCCGTAGTACGTAATAAATTAGGTATACCTTGCATTTGCTTATATGTACGCTACGAGGACACGCTAAGTACGAGGAGAAAGCTAATATCTTCGGTAGCGCGTTCAAATTCCTGAGACTCTTCGAACACTGTGGCACTGACTGTGCGCATGCACGATTTGACTAAACAGTCAACCGTAGGAGGTTGCCAGTCTCCGTTTAGCTAGAACGGTGTTGATTGGCGCACCTATCCACGGCGGACGGTCAAGTTAAGAGGATTGACAGCCTTCTTCGGTTGGCTGTTAAAGTCAAATGTGCATGGGCCAAGTGTTCGAAATGACTCGGGATTTTGACTGCGCTACCGAAGATATTAGCTTTCTCCTCGTATACGTGATAGACAGCGAGAATGGAGTGATTGGTTTAAGCCCTCGCCCTCTATCCCCCCGGACGCAAACTACGCACTACGGACTTAACTAGTGCTAACAAGTACCACTTTGGTACACTGCGCATGGTCAAGATATTGGGTTTTTTCACTTCGCGAATGCATCAAAATGTATGGCAAATATATCTCTTTTATACTCCAATGATGGCGTACTAGGTGTTTAATATAAAAGTTTCGTGAAATGTTCGCCATAACTTTGCTCTTACTTGACTACAACGCCTCAGATTCTATGATACTGGGTTGGCTTGGCTCAAGCCATGTTTACCCAGTAAGCGCTATGGCAAAGTTCACCGTAAAGGCGTAAACTGCCGCACTTTAGCCACGCCCCAGCCTTTAGCCCCGCCCCAACGCGTTAGACCAATTACTCCATTAATGATAACCATGCCCTGCTCGTGCAACGCGGGCAACCACCCAGGTTTGCAGTTGCTTGTAAACACATAAAAAATAACTGACTGAAAATTATGCAAACTTCCAGCGCTCATTTCTCGTGCACTCTGGAATAGGACTACTCAACCAATATACCAGAAGACGCAGCAAAAAATAACGCGATTTTTGATACCAAATAAGTGAGAATATACGCCGATCCAAACAGATTACAGCTAGTTTCGTTTTCTCATAGCCTTAGCATAGAATCCACGCTCAAGGGTTCCCCACACAGAATCCTGTGCTATGTCTACGAGAAACTCAAAAAGGCTATCATCTGTCTTAATCGCTATGAATTGCAACTTGTTGGGTATCAAAAATCTTCTAGATTTTTTCTGCATCTTTTGCTACATTGGTCAAATAGTTTCGTTCCATAGTACACGAAGAATAAGAGCTGGAAGTTAGCATACGAGTCTATGAAGACGAGATGTTTTCTACACAGTACGTGGACCGCCAACCCTTGGTGGCTGGGTGTGCTGCACAACACGTGATTGGTTATCATTAAATCTCGCTGGTTTTTTTGTCTATCACGTATACTTAGCGTGTCCTCTTAAGTTTTTGTTCTTGTCCTTCTAAGTTTTCTTAGAAATCGTGGCATTCGGTTTGACCGACGTGGGTGGATATATTGTTTCCAAAGTCCAGAAACGAAAGTTTCCTCGTCCTTCATGCAAATCTGGTGTCGGGAACGTATTTGGGGTTAGCTTCGCGGACAACGATGACTGGTTGTAGCAAGATCGCGTGTTGACTTCGGCGGCTTAAGTGTACCCTCACAGCAGATTAACATGCTGTTGCAGTATGGATTAGGATTTTTTGAACAATTACAAAACATCAGCGGTTTTTACAATGGAGGTCGGCATTTGGAAAGAACATTGAAATTGATTTTGTCGTCAATGGAAATTCATGGCTTTCATCCTTTGAGTTATATCTGTGTTTGTGGGTTTGTGGTTCTTTAGCTATTTAGAATACGAGTGTCTCAAGAGATTTTTTAATACTGCCTTTAAGAACGATGTTAGAGAGTGACGAGCCGAAGCGCTGAAGCGAAAATATAGGGCTTGGAAGGCTGTACCGATGATATCAGATCCTGGTAAACTTGAAAAACTGAAGCAGCTCCAGAAATTTTCCAAGTTGTTTCCACAGATATATATGTAAATTCGTACTCTCGTAAAAGTGAGTAACCTTGCAGTAATAATGTGCACCTTAAAATCACATAAAAAATCGGAGGCAGTGATCACAGTCCATCCAGTAATACAATTTTAACTAAAGCAACGAAAGTATAAATCAGACCTGGGCAGTTATGAGATTTCGACTCATAGTTAGAATTAAGAGTTAATCGCAGCTCGCGAGTTACGCTACGAGTTAAGTTAGCCGCAATAACTAGAGTTAACTGGAGTTAACTTCTAATAAAAGAAATCATGATTTTATTAATCAACTTCAAGTAGTCTTTTATGCATACCGATATCACTTTTACCAGATTTGAGACACAGACCAATTATTAATTTTTTTCTTAAAACTGATTTTTAAAATTCATGCTTTTTCTAATGTTCCTTTTTCATGTTTTTCCTGAGGGAGAGAGCGAGAGACACATTTTTCTTGAGGGAGGAAGATAAAATATAAATGAAACATAAGAAAGAATAAGAATGAAACAAAAGAATGAAACATATAAAGAAAACATGCTTGTGTTTTTTGTGTTTTGTTCTTATTGTGTTTCCTGCCTGTTTTCTCTCACCCTCAAGAAAAAATCAAACATAAGAAGTTCTTATCTGACAAAATTCCTCCCTCTTTTTAACCACATAAAAATTCCTGCCTCTCAAAATTCCTCCCTCTTTTTGACCCTGGCTTTTGGGGCCGAGCGCCGGCAACGCTGAACTTTTTTACTAATATTTCGCTTCACATGGCTACCGAAGTTAGTGTAGCTGTTTGACAGCGTTGACCGCATTATTACGCTTCTTTAATGGGCAGGTAGCGAACAATTACAGGTAGCAGGTAGCAGGTAGCGCACAGACGATCAGTTCCCGTGTGATTTTTGTGCGGAACATGATTTGTCCTCTCGTTGACAAAATTTTGCTCCGCAAAAAATTACGTTCTCTGCACGCTGTTAATTGAGCTCAAATTGAACGACCACACTCACCGTCAGCATGGACTCTCCGATGCATATTCATCGACCGAAGCGTAGCGAAGGCAGATTAATACATACTTTCGTTGATTTGTGTCCGTTACGAAAGGTCGTTACGAAAGGTTGTCACGAAAGCCATTTCCAACGAGTAACTGGAAGTCTATGCTTATGTTCCTAAGTCGTTTTGCAAAATAATATAAAATTTCATTATTCAACATATACAAATAGTATTAAAATACTTAAATAGTTTGTAATATAAAATGTAGTATACTGTACTCAAAGGAAATGCTGCGCTCAGGGCTTTCAAATGCACATTTTTCTTAGTCTAGTCAATGCCTTGGACGGTGGTAGTGTACGTCTGCTCGAGAAATTTTGTACACACATACTTTTGTAATTATGGCAATTTATGCGATCCACGGTTAAAATAACATTTTTTCTGATATTTTCTATTTTTTAATTTCATTTTTGCTTTCAACTGAAACCCCCAGAGTTACGTTAAACTCGAGTTGCGCTATATTATTTTTGAGTTGCGCTAGAGTTAAGTTTTCGTCCCGGCGAGTTAAGCTTCAAAGTTAAGTTATAAATCGTTAACTCGAAAAAAACTCGCGTTAAGTTAAATAGTTAAAATTAACTGCCCAGGTCTGGTATAAATTATAGAATTTTATCAAGAAAGAAGGCGAAAAAAACCCTATCGTACAATTTTACAAAATGCAAATTTGAATTTAAACGGGTAGTCGGGTACTGAAAACTGAAAAGTGATGAAGCAAAAGTGTCAACGATACGTTTATGGCACGCCAAAATTGTTACGTACGGCTTAACAAAACTTTGCCAGCATGAGAATAAATTCAAGAAATAAGAATGGACTGATCTGTAAATTCACTAATTAAATTCCCATTATTTAGCTGAATGAGAGCAATACTATTGCTCTCATTCAGCTAAATATTGGGACCATTCGGCGTCATCGAATGCCGGTTCCGGTGTGAAACCGGTGCAAAATGCAAAGAGCCTTTACCATAATTATGGCCATGGAGGATATGACCATAAAGTATCCGCGACTATACCGGAAGACGGAATTATACTAAATAGATCTGCAAATTAAAGACTGGGAATGGACTTTACCTTCAAATGTTTCCTTCTGCATGGTACGGAAGTGACCATTTTGACAAGCCTGGACTTACCATTATATTGACATCAAGTGAGAGTTTTTTTAAGTCATAAAGAAGGTACTGTCGAACTGAAAATTGTCTTGAATTAAGATTTTTTCTTGACGTTAAAAGCTATAACCAGCCGCTGATCTTCAACTAACCAAAATACGAGTATTTACATTTATTCAGTAGTTATGTCTTATGTGGCACTTGTATGTAGGCTAATGTAGCTAAGACGTCTACGCAATAAAGGTAAATATTAGGCCAGGTGCTTATGGCGGGCACCCCCCTTGGCGGGTGCGATGAGGCGGGTTTTAACCATAAGGCGGGCATTGCAGAAATGCATTTCCACAGCGCACTTTCCCACTAGAGCGCATCCTTGCCGCCAGTGCAAGTCATATACACTATATTTGCTCACGCTGCTGCATGCTTTATAACTTTGAGACCTTCAAAAATCACCCCTTGCAACAGTGTTTACAAAAAAATACGCAGATCTTTCTAAATCGTTTTGTTGGGCAACTTGGTTGTAATTTGAACAAATGCTTAATGCAAGATGCAGGTCATGTCCCAGTGATTGCTACTTTGGTAAACCACTTATTTTAATGGCTTCGAGAGACTCACTTAAGTTGCCAGAGAAATTTTATGCCTCTAATTTCAGAAAACCTATTTCTTTTGCACGATTGTTGCCGTAAAAGGTATAGTCGCAAAATATTTAAATACATATAGTTTGCCTACATAAGTTACCAGCCGTGTGTGAAAGCGATTAAATCTATGACATTAAAACAAGTAGTGCAAAACTACTAAATAAATTCAAAGCCCGCATTTAAAAGAGAAAGCAACTTCAGCTGACTTGACCACACAAACCAATATCCGACTATTGTTTGCAACGACATCCTGTTAATTTTGCCTTCTAATATAGTTGTCCACAGTGCTGTCAATTTTCAGCATTTACGCACTGGTGAAAATCATTATTACCATATAGCAAACCATAACACATGCTCTTATGTTTGCAGTTTGTCTTGTAATTTAGTGTCTAACGCTGAGCCCACTAAGGACCGATTTTTAATTTATTATAAGTCTCAATAACATGCAAAATGAAAAAACAAGCAAATGACATGGTTTTTTTAGCATATAATTTTAGCATGTTTTTAACATGCAGCATTCATCGCTAAAGAACAACAAAACTATTGTACCGGTATTTGGCTAAAAAAAAGAAGCGATAAAAGCAACAATTAAAAAATGGCAACAGTTTTCGATAAAGCCGAAGAAAGAAGTACGTCGACAGTTCGACTCACAAAGGGTATCTTACTTCAGCTTAAAGGTAGTCTCACCGTTGAAAATTACATATGCGGAAGAAAATAAGTCGTAGCTTCTATTGACACAGAAAAGGAAAAGCTTGTAGTATACCGCAATAAAATAGGCTGCAACCTAAATTCAAAAGATTGTTTTGGAAAACAATAAAATAGCAACTTAGGCTACAGCCTAAATCAATAATTATGTTTTGATATCAAGGAATGCATACCAAATAATTCTTTCTTATTTCGCTTGTACTCTGAGATAGAATCAGTTGGGAGAAAGGTTTTGTGAAAGAAGTGAACGGAAGTCAGAAAACTTAGGCTGTAGCCTCAGTCAATAAAAAAATCGGAAAGTTACAGCGACAAATCGCGCTTTACTCACCTCATCTAATTCATACAGATGGAACCTTCTTTTATTTGTGTTTCGAAACCATTTTGGGTGTAATCCGAGTTGTATGGGGACTATTGGGTATCGCAAAAACTACATATTATATATAAACTGTTAATAGATCGATTTGCGTTTTTGGTTTGCATATCACTGACTGTTCGATTGACTGTCCCGCAGATTTTTACGGCATGGTTAGAAGACCTCTTAAAGTTTTCCTATTAGCAATAGAAAACTGAGATTATTAGAGAAAGAACTCCTTAACTCCGGCATTACGATATTGACGAGATTCGAAGAAAATACGGTCAGTAGCTTTTTGAGCATTTAAATGCATTATGCTTGATAAATTGCTAACATCTATAATATCGTGCTGTACGTATTGCGGTTAATTTACGGTACCTACTGTTATGTTTAAATGTGGTCACTTTTTCTGATCTGCGTGACTTACTATTTTTAATTTACCGTTAATTTTTCACAAATGTTCTTTTATTTTGTTAGGTGCTTTGGAACAGATAAAAACGGCTGCTTCAAAAAACTGGGATGATGTCAGGATATGGTGTCCTTCGTGCTAACTTTTTGAAATCTTATTTAAAAATCTGAAAGTGTAAAGCGATCTATGTCAAATAGCTTTACATCATTTTCCGCCTTTAATCGGTCTTCTGCGTTAACGTAAAACGTGTATGAACCTGCTCCCTAGATGTGTGAATGTCAAGAAATGTGTAAACGTTCGTTTTTATGACTTAAAAATTGAAAAAAACTGTACAGCCACGAAAACCAAAAGGCGAATACACAAAGCTGTTCAAATCAAAAAGGCTCGTGACACAGTAGAAGTGCACTAGCGATTAGGCAAGTGCAGCGCAACTGATGCCTCAGTGCAGTGTGCAATTCGTGTGTGCCCGCCACTGATATTGAAGCCCGCCTTATCGCACCCGCCAAGGCGGGGGCCCGCCATAAGCACCTGGCCAAATATGGCCAGGTGCAAATAATTATACAAATAATAATTATACGTTAACGTTATAAATAATTATACGTTAACGCATGGCGGTACTAAAGAGAAGGCGTACGCGCGCCGTTTGTGACGTCACAGTAAGGCAAGCAGCCCGCTAGCGCAGTGCTTTAAGGCTCGTAGGCTCCATAGACTGCTATGGTGAACGCATTTCACTTCCCGTGCTGTGGAACCACCGAGTTATAGCTCGAAAGAAAGAGAAAAAAATTTCATAAGATGCAAACGTCTTCAGTAATAAAAGCTAGGTGAGATTTTTGGAACGTCTCGAAAGTAAGACGAGTTAGCGTAAAAAGTTCGGTCCAGGTCGGTCCAGACCGCGCGACCGTTGTGTGCTAATTGCATACAATTTTATACCTTTTTACAACATGTAATCGAAAATCTGAAAATTTTTTTCTCTTTCTTTCAAGCTATTGCCCGCTCATTTTAGACTTTTAAAACTTAAAATCGCTCAACATGGCAACCAATGGAGCCTACGAGCCATAAAGCAATGTGCAGATGGCTGGCTTGCCTTCTCATGACGTAGCACCGGGAGTAGGCAAGTCGCGCTAATGTCTTCTATTTAGTACTGCCATGGTTAACGTTATCTGTAGGAAAAGTGTTTCGAACTTCAACGGTGGTGCTGCTGGAGCTGTAGTATCCTCTTTATTCACCTGTGGTACATCGTATTGTTGCATGATAAAAAAACATCACAATTTTACAACATTAAAACTTCGTTTAACTTTTCTGCTTCTTCCATTGTTCCCAAAACTGAGGCCGCGTTCCCCCGTTGTATCGCCAACGACAATCTTTGACGTAGAAATTCATGGGAACGCTTCTCCCCAGTCTGCTGTTCTAGTCGTTTGCCCAATTCTTTGATAATGGCGATGGCGGCCGGTCCCCAAGGGCCCATTGTTTCAAAAGCTATCGGAGCAAAGATATACCTGCCGAACAAGTACGCATACAGCTGCGCCTTTTTTTATTCCGCTTCCAACGCAGCTGCGCCTGCATTTGCCGCCGTAGATTTAATGTGGGAAGGCGCAACAGTATCCACACAAGTGACATCCCATGCTAAACTGCCTAAACACATCTCTCTCTGCCAGGCAAAGGTCGTGCAGCCGTCAGGGCGCCGTTCGGAAGTATGTGACGTTCCGCGGGGCTCTATCTTCGCAGGGATTCCAGCTGACACTAACGAGCGGCACACGATGCTGTTCAGTTCGCCATGTCGCGGGTGTCTACTGCGGAAAATGCGCACGAAAGGCCGTGGTGTCCGTACTTATCAACGTGCTTATGACACTTCAAACATTCATGGGGTTCAAATATCGCCACTCCCAATCTCAGGCCAACTGAGATTTTAAAAGTGTCATCGTCCACGAGGTTGCCAATATGAGCGGAGGGCAATGCGTTTAACCAGATGCCAGCTTCTGGTTTAGACTGAGCAAGAAGGCGGGCTTTGTTAAGGTCATCGTTGCGGAAAACATCTACAGTAGCAGCGTGGACAACGACACGTTACACAAAGGCAAGCAAAGGAGCTGTAGTTATGCATTTTATGGTTTTCAATACAAATACTATAGTAGTTTGTTTTTATGCAATACTTCACAATATGAAATCTTGTGGCATCTTACTGTATATTTGAGAATTTGCTCGAAGTGAAAAAAGTGGGTAAAATTTGTCTGTACAAGTTTGTCTCGTAATTTCTAATGCATAAGAATACAGCGATGATGCATGCCAAATGCCGATATTACAAATAATAAAATATTAACTTTTCTCCGTTGTAATAAAGAAGTAAATTTGTCCTTTGTCAGAAAATGATGCCAGTTCGATTTTTTTACACTTAACACTGTACAAACAAATGGCTATTTCTCTATGTTATTCAATAGGACCTTTTTTTAATTACAATGGACGACAAAATTTACTTTACTCGGGACCGTGAGCCGTTGTCGGCTAACAGCGCATCAGATGAATGAGCGCCGTATATCCGTCGCTAAAATTTCCGTATATCCGTCGGTAAAGTAAATTTTGTCGTCCATTGTATTTTGTACAGACTGTGCTTACCTGTACATGCAATATTTTATTGTGTTGGCGTAATTTGTAATATAAACTATGAACGCAGGTTCAGAAAAGCAAAAAATTATGACGATCAAGCATGCATGGCTTATTGAAGATCCCATCATCATCCCCATAAGGCAGCCGACAGCTTGGCTACTAACACGGATAACCTCATATATTCCGAAAAAAATTTCTCGATCGCCTCAGCCGATCTTGCTGAGAAATGGGCATTTGGCGTTTGAGCAGCCACTGGAATGGAATCTCATGTCGAAATTGGTTATGTTCAGAAAGCTGATAAATAGCTAAGCCAAGTAAGTCGCATTGTTTAAGCAGTGTTGAGTAGTTACGTTAATGTTGCACAATACTTCTGTTGTGCACGATACTAAATATACCACGTTGAACTACGTACATTATTTTCTGTTGCGTTGAATTGTTTAGTCCCAGAGAGCGGCACTGGTCAAGCACGTTTCGTCAGTGAACTGCTGCTTAAATTTCAGTGCTTGCATGATTTGACTTAGGTTACTCTGGGCTTGACCTTTATTCACCAATCCCTAATTTAATGCTACGGGAGTCTCAAAATGAGTTGTGATGCGCTTTTTATGCCGAGGATAATAGATCACGCCCACGAGAAGTTGTTCAGCTTTACTCCTCGGCAAAGAGATTCAGCGAAAGCCGCTTTCTTCCCAAGTCATCCATGGATGGCGGTATTCGGTAGTTATTAGAACCCGGTACCCGGTAGTTATTATTATTATTAGTTATCACTATATTAAATTTTTGTAAAGATTCGGAATCGAAGTTGTTACTCAAATGATTCTTGTTGGTAAAATTTAAACTCATCTAATATCGAACGTTTATCAAGATTTATGTGTATCAAGGGTCAGACCTGTGATCTCCTAAAAATTTTACTGCTGGTGTACGAATAAATGGCTACGAATAGAAAAATTTGATCTTTCGATGATGAGGCAGGACAATATTATACTGTTCTTGAACAGGTGCATAGCTGTCAGGGCTGTGAGTAATGAAATTATGCTTGGCTACCTCCGAGCATTCCTTTCTCTAAGCTTACGAAGCATGAATATGTGCCTCCAAGGATCGAAATTTCTTCTCTGAGTCTCTGACCCTGATCTATCTGCTTTCACACTTATATTGAACACCTATAACACTCATCATGCGCCGCGTGGAACAGCCTATTCTGTCCATTTCATCTGTGCCTGCCCTTTAATCCACTTAACTACGGCTACGGCTTAATGTAGTCCTTAATGGATTCTTGTGAACGATGGGCAATTTAGGCTGTATACTGTTTTGCCATGTACATACATGTACAGTACTCGTACAAGTCCAATGCTATCGAAGAAAAAGTTTGCCATGCTGCATAAGAATTTACCACAGTTTCTGATACTGCAGTCAGCAAGCTAAGACAATGCGGTTGCGTAGTGCGCTGTCTGCCTGTCGTAATTCGCAGGAGAAACCGTTCAATTGAATCTTTGAAGCTGCTCATTATATCATCTCCTCAACTCCATTTCGTTAGAGGTAATTACACTTTTGTCCTTTAACATCGACAAGTTACAGATAGAGCGGCATACAGAAGAAGGCAGACTACAGCCACAGAAAGGGAAAAGCTACAGCAGCAGACTAAGGCGCTAGTTAAGAACGGTTACGTTATGCACTGTATGTGCATATACATGTATAATGTATTCCGAGTTTTACTGGTGCTTCAAGACCGTATCGCTGTGCTTCAAGACCGGCGCTATCCCTGTGGTTTTAATAACGTTCAGTAATTTCTCGGAGACTTTATATCATTCAGCATGGCGGTCCAAAGCAAATATTTTTCGCGAGGACTTTGCTCTGGCAAGCATTATAATCTGGCAAACACGGTACTGGTGAAGCTGGAAGAAGATGTGTTCTGCTTAGGATACCTTCAGGATATCCAAGGGGAAGACGTTTTTATTGATTTTGATTGTACCGGAATGCGGCCTTCATGGATACACACACGTTTCGTATGGTTGCATAATCTTGTTGAGGAGAACCATGGTTCAGATGTCCTGGTTGCTCTACGGAGCACAATCGAGCAATGGAAAGGTGCGTATATATTCCAACGCGCCAGAGAAGCCGGAAAGTGTGGATTTTCTAACCTATACGTGTGCTACATTACAACGGATGCACAAGTATTTGTCAAACGAAAAGCAAAATTTCAAGTCGTGCACCGCTGGCAGATCGTGTCAGAACTGCCAGACAGAAATCACCCATCGATTTTTGACCAACGAAATCAAATCCATCTCGTAAAGCATATTATTCCTTTAGCCAATTCGCATACAGTGCCGGCATTCAACGAAACAGATGTCGTAGATTTTTTGGACACCGCATTCGGGAAATACGACGACAGCAACACACAATTTCCTGACACCCGCGATCGGTTATTTGTAGGACTTGGGGCAGAAACAATCACCGTTATAATTTTAGACATTTCGAAATTACGGCAAGGTCAACACAATGCAACGTGGTGGACGGGTGGAATTCACGAAAAACTGGTAGCTGCGGAGAAATGTTTACTGAAAAGAGGCATCTCGTTTTATTCATATGGACCCTCACCCTGTGAGATACAGATGTTCGACGGCAACCCTATAGAAAACGGTAAGCGCTTTTACTGCCCAAGACTCTACCGCGATATCCTTTTGATACGGGGCGGCGCAGGGTTAAACTTTGCGAAAAGTATAGCGCGAGGTCCCCGGCGCATATTCATTTTGGGGATTTATAGCTATTCGTAACATGCATGGAAGCCTCCTCCACTACTTAGAATATGGCGCTACTGTTATTTACAAAGTACGCGAAAATTTTGGGGGACGCAGTGCACCGTAGACTGTATGCTTTAACAAAAACCGCGCCTACCCAATCCTGCTTACTACAATCCAACCAATCCGAATTGCGCACAGGTTGTCAGTACTCTAGAATCCAGATTATTAATTGCTAACGTAGCCTAAATCCTACTCGGGTTAAGTCGGGTAGCGTTTATTGCTTGCGACATTAAACTAAAATAAAATCGAAATAATACATTTTTTGGATAAGTACCTAATATTTCACTAGCAGAGATGAAATATCAGCATAACTGCTTTCACATTTTCTAACAGCTGAAAAGCGGCGCGATGAAATAATTTATGCGAAATATGCGTATTAATTGAAAATGTTTTTATCTACATCCGTAACCACGTATACACGATTGATAATGTAGCCCATGTTTGGGCGAACGGCTGAACCGATTTCGACGCGGCCAAGTGCGTTAAATTCGTCTCAACGGCGCGAATGTTCTTACGCTATTGCGCCATCGATACGCCCCAAAAGGGAAGGAGTAGCCCCAAAAACAAATTGTTGCCATGGGCCCCCATAGACATACATGGTAAATACATTGTCTGTTTGCGGACCTTTCGAAAAAACCGAGACAGACCGCGGCCTTCGGCATCGGCACGTTACAAAGTATTGAAAATTTAAGAAACATGTGCAAAAATTAATCGCAGTCAATCCCACCAGCGTGATCGGTATACCTCGTATTCTTTCATATACGATATTTCTTAGATACCTTAGGTTCCTTAGGTTTCTCAGGTTTCTTAGGTATTCTTAGGTATTCTTAGGTTTCTCAGGTTTCTTAGGTTTCTTAGGTTTCTTAGATTTCTTTGGTTTCCTAGTTTTCTTAGGTTTCTTAGGCTTTCTTAGGGTTTCTCAAGTTTTCATAGATTTTCTCTTTCTTAATTTTCGTAGTTTCCTTAGCGGCTGGGACCAATGCGATCAACCGTTGCGAAGTGTGCATTGCGTAATAAACTTGCGCCGCAAAAGTTTGTGTACGGATGTAGATCCCGTAAACTGGTTATATGATATGAATACTAACTACGTAACCTGGGTCCTCGACACTTTGCCGTTGTAACCAATTTTCTCCCGTTCCACACATCCTATCTGCACGCTCTAAAGTGCTACAGAATCCTCTCAGTGTCGAGAGTGTTCCTGCGTCATAAGTTTTTTGCAAAGCCCAATCCCCACAGTCCAGTGGTCACTCGAAAGCTTGTTGCCATGGTGGCCATTAGCTTAACATGGGCTGTTTGTATATCCCCAGATTATATTACATTTATTGTTATTACATCGAATTGTCATTGAAATTAGCGAACTGTGAATGAGCAAAATAAGTAACAGATTCTGCTCATGCCTGTTTATTTTGTTCGTGCCTCCTTAATGTAGTAAACATCGTGTCGTTATTTATTACATATGTAATTAACCTTTTAACATGCTCGAAATCCTAAGACATTATCCATCCGTGCTGGGCTTGTTATTATGTACTTAATACGGTATCTGTACGAGTATCGAATTTAGCAGTCATAAACCAGGTGATTCGCACATAACGTACTGCAGCGCACTTATCCAGGACAGGTCTCCAAGCGTGGTACTCGTGCAATCGTGTTCATAATAATATTGGTTAATCGGTTCGACTGCCATTGTCATGGAAACTAAAGGTCACTTGAATTTTGAAATAAAATAACAAGCACGATTGCATCCAGTGTTTTCTTACACTCGTTACTGTAATTACTCTACTTGGAATTCAAGTACAGTAGTAGGCAGTTTTACTGATTAAAAGTCTTAAGGACTGAACCGCCGTACAAGATTCGACAATCCGAAAAAGTTTCTAAAATAAATTTACATGCAAAATGAAGAATGTCAGCTTTCCATACCATTAGCAAATCATGATGGGAAAAAAATGAATGTAGATCTTTCCAGTATCTAAACATTTTAAAAACATTCGACCCCTTCTCGATTCAAACTAGGAAAAATACATATTCGGTGTGCATTCGGTAGACCGGAGCGTAGCAGCTTTTCGCTCGTGCGAGTGATAATTCATTCTTAATATCCTGTCAGTAGCAGACAGTAGTACTCTTAACAGTTACTTTGCATAATCGACCGGAGCGTAGCGAAGGTCCTCTTAATTCAGCTCCAATGCAAAAATGTATCTGTGTCCGTTACGAAAGGTTGCTACGAAAGGGCACTACGAAAATGTTGCTGGCTACTTATGTTGCTAAGTTAAAATTATTGATTATGTTAATTGTTAAGAGTGCTACTGGTAGCACGTTAAAAAATAGTTATTCGCACAAGCGAAAAGCTGCTGCGCTCCGGTCTGCCAACTGCCAACGTGCATTTTTCCTAGTTATTATTATTAATTCAAGCTTAGCAATAATACCAGTCAGCAACAGTTTCGTAACGACTTTTTGTAACGACCTTCCGTAATGGGCAGAAATCAACGGAAGCATTACTTCGACGTTTCTCAACAACGGTTCAACTATACTGTACACTGTGAATAACGAATCACCGCACCGCCACATGTGGCGAATTACAAATCAACTGTGCTGATCACCTCATCGGTCAGCTCCATACGCTGCTACGTTAAACTCAAATACCCGCGTTGCATCAACTTGCTGGGAAATCTTCTATATCTATATAAATAAAAGGATAAGCCTTACCGAAGTTGCGGTGTGTCATCGATTCATTAGCGCTGCACTCAACCAAACTGTAATGTCTATAGGTCGTTCGATAGCCCTTAACGTACAGATTTGTCAGCTAAAGTCAATTTCAGAGAAAACCAAACGTTTTAAAGAAAACTTACAAAGAAAGCCTATGGGAAAAGCTAAGAATCCACCACTGCAAAACCGACCATCCCACCACGGTCTCGACAGCCGACTTACAATTCACCAACTTACAAGCTAGATTCAGGAAAACTTTGTTGTGCTTGAATCACGACCACGTGTTATTCCGTGGTCTTGAACGAATTTATAAATTGTTTATCAGTATTTGGCTTCGAGAAAAAATGATTTGAGCAAGAAGACCTAACAAGGTCACTAAGCATGGAAACTGCTCAAAACTGTTTCCCAAGGAGCTTTTATTCGCAGTGGTTTGATCGGTTTAAAGTTGCCACGCTTCCACGAGTGGTTGCCATTGGTACTGATTTGCTATTGGAGTTAAAAATTTACAGACTTGTGAGTACTTTTAATTTTTTTTCTGCGGAAAATTATGTTCGAGAAAGGCGGAATTCCGTGTTTAGGGATGATTTAAAGAGCAGCAAGCTAGCAGCTGCACATTTTAGCGATTGCTTGGGGCAGTCATTAGGCGAGAATTGCAGTTAAGGGATTTGGCCCAGTACATAGTACTAAATTCGTGTACATTGACGGGAATATTTGCAATATCGCACACTTCCAAACACTTTTTTTTGCTTTTTGACACAGTGTAGCCAAATAATTTGTATACATTGGCGTGAGATCCGTTTTCGCGCGCAACATCCGGTTGCAAAGTTATGAGGGTAAAAAATTCCAAAACGTTTAAATGCATTAAGGTGTACCAAAAGTCTCATTATGGACCGGCCCCTTTCTAATTTTGCATGTAAATGCACATAACCATGAAGATTGTTTTTACACCTAACCACCGATACACCATTTTGTTCAAATTTTAAAATTCATTTTAAAATGTGAAAATAATGCCAGAACTGTGGCTTCGTGTAAAAACCATCTTCATACATATGTGCGTTTACATGCAAAATTCGAAGATCGGTTGATGACGAGACTTTTGGTACACCTGAATGCATTTGAACCTTTAAGAATTTTCATACGGCCATAACTTTCCAGCCGGATGTTGCGCGCTCAAACGGTTTTCACGGCAATGTATACTTTATAAATCATCTGGCTGCAGTATGTCATAAAACAAAATACAAAGCAAGAATTTTTGGGAAACTTGAAATACCTCCGTTAGTTTGTCATAGAAGGCGGAGCCGCAGGCGACGCCGAACTGCTGCGCGAGCAGAGCTCGGAAGCAGCAAGCATGCAAGAAATTTCGAGTACAAGTCCTTGATTTTAGAAAGAGCTAACAGCGGAGAAGGAAATACAACGAAATGCTTCTGTCCTTATTAAATTAAAGTGGCTTAACTTTGTTCTGTGGTCACAGTAATAGCAAAAAAAGATTATTACTGCTTTGATTTATCCCTTATTAGCGTAATGATTGGTGAAGGGCAGCAGCAGTGGTGCATTCTGCATTCAGTTAAACGGTCAGGGAAATTTTCCAGTAGATATTACCATCAAGCGACATCAACTGTGCAGTGTGCAAAGGACATTATTGTGTATTTCGTCATTTTTGTGTATTATAGAATTCTACGCTTCGTTCCTGAAACCTGCAGTTAGGAGTTTACATATATTTACAAACCTGCAGTTATGAGTTTTATTTTTGCGCTGAGTTGTGATCTGCTCTTTGCATTATTTACTCCGCGCAATTTGCGCGGGGTCTGCTAGTACAGTATAACTGATCCGTTATTGAGAAAAGTCGAAGCTAATGCTTTCGTTCATTTCCGCCCATTACGGAAGGTCGTTACGAAACTGTTGCTGGCTGGTATTATTGCTAAGTTTAAATTAATAATAATTACCGTATTTAAAGGAACTGTTAAGAGTGCTACAGTCTGCTACTGACAGGATGTTACAAATGAATTATCACTCGCACAAGCAAAAAGCTGTATAACATGTGCTACTAATTACATTTGCTTCTTATTGTTATTAAACTATGTTCTGAGAAGTGCTTTTCAAGAAATCCGTAATAGTTTATTATTTTGTATCGATTTTCTAGTAATTCCCATAGTAAAAACGCCCGTCGGCTTCGCGCCGAAGTTCACCTTTTCTATAGACTCTGAACCATTATACAGCCTTTCTTCATGCCCTTTAGCTATCGGTGTAGAATTATTATCGGTGTAGAGCGTACTTAAGTACATTTAATTAACTGCAAGCGTGCATTACGCCGAAACATGCGCGTAGCGTTAACCATCATATCAAATTATTATCTCTTAGTAGAGCACAACTGGGACCAGAAAATATAAACTGGGACCAGAATTCTGTATCTATTAACACAGTGTAATTTTGATTTAGTTATACTAAATGAAGCGGTTGTGAAGAGACCCCCGGCCCCCAAGGGGCCATTCACATTTCAGGAAGGGTAAAAAAAATAATTTAAGTTTTCGATTTCCGCGATAATTTGTTTTATTGCTTGGATTCCATTTCCAGGCAACTGTACCAGTGCAAAGTATTGCAGTTCCAATAAAAACGGTTGCCCGAGACACTTCGTTAACAATTTGGGGTACTTACCAGCTGTGCGCAATTCGGATTGGTTGAATGGTAGTGTGCAGGATTGGGTAGCCGCTTGATAGGGCGGTTTTTCTTATATTATAGAGTCTACGGTGCACTGGGTGCCCAAAATTTTCATGTTTAACAAAGTTGCTTTCGTTAAAAAAAACAATTTATATCGTTGGTGTCGTAAGGATAAGCGCTTTTCAACAGAGGGAAAGCTGATTCAAGTTATTCGGTTGCTATGAAGAATATGATCACTGATAAGTCATTAGATATATGACGCTGCTTAAGACAATCTGGGTTATAAATTCGGTTTTTTGGAGAGAACTATAGCCAAATAAGCAATTGTGAAGTACGGCTGTGTATTTTTTGTCAAAAGCGATGGAAGGGATTTTCATATGTGGCTTTTGTGAGAGCGGCTAAAGCAAAGCCTTCAGAACTGCCGGGCCTTTCATTCGCTTTGTACAGCGTTCCAGTTCAACTTTCTGTGGTTTCTCAGTTTCTCTTTTCTCAGACAACGAATCATCGTTACTGTAAATTCTGAAAAACGCCGGATTACCACGTATTCGAAATTCCCTGATAGTTCAAGAGTTTCATAATTAACGTTTTTACATAGTTTCTAGTTTCTAACTTAAATCTTGCCATCACACGCAAAATATGCAAATAATACAAGTCCTGCTCTGCTCTCACAAACTCTTCCTAAATAAACCGTCTTACGGGATATGATGTCGGTATGATGTCGTCAAATTAATTTTTTCGTCGGTTGCGGAGCTGAATGAAAATATTTTATTGCCACATAAAAGTCATGAAGTCCTTCGTCCACTGCTTTGTACTAGTCTTTTTCATGACCTTTAAATTGCATTTAAAACTAACGGATGGAATAAGTTGTTTTCATTCCGCCGACTGTTTGTTTCCATATCGCACATTAAAGTCCGACTACAATAATTATTTGTATGTAAGATAAAACTAAGCTAAAGGTACCATGAAGCTCATTGTGCGTTACAGATTCTGGACGTGATAGTTTGCTTTTCTTTACAGGGAGGAGGTTTCAGATGTCGCTTGCTGTCTTGACTTTGGACGTCACAGCAGAACTTCTGGCACTTCTGGATGTTCATTCTCTTGCCAGAGCACGACGGTAAGACCGGCTTTGTGGTACACCTGGCATCTGAGCTTATCAGGCCATCTGTACATTTGCCAGTCTGAATTGGCCTGCACAGTACTTACCACTTTCTGTCGTTTTTTTTTGTGGAAATTTGTTTAATAGTTTATCTGTAATTAAGCTGTCGTCAAGTGATGCTCTCTCCATAGCAGAGCATGCAGACATTGCAGAGCACACGTATGATGTACATGTAGTCACAAAAGAGCGTCACGCAACACACTTGCCTACGAGATGAGCCATTATGGTAACCCACCATTTGTCGACCGTCACTTCGTCGAACAGATAAAATATTGACCGATAACGACGTCGAGGTAACGTTTAACTAAACCATCTCAGTTTTCTTAGCTTTCTTGGGTTTCTTAGGTTTTCTTAGGCTTCTTAGGTTATTCTTAGGTTATTCTGAGGTTTCTTGGGTTTCTTGGGTTCTTCGGTGTCTTAAATCTTTTAGGTTTCTTGGGCTTTCTTAGGTTCTTACTTGTCGCCCTCGTGACGGTCGACGTAATGCCGTCGACAATGTGTCGGCCGAAGAAGTGTTAGTCGAAGAAATGTCGGCGAGCCCGAGATAGTATACGAGTATGTGGAATTCCACACATCGATTTCCAGATTTCCAGTGGGTGTATACGTACGATACGTATACGATTATACGGTATAGTACTGTTACAACCGCGCAAGGGCTGATGCAGTGTTCAATTGGTACTGGAAAAACGTAGCAGTTCCTAGTGGGCTATAACGCTCGCGCTCGACGATGTGGTTATCAACAACCATTAGGTAAATTTAGAAATTGAAGCAGCAAAAATTTCTATATAATAATCGCGTAAGCCTAATAAGGAAAATGCCCTGGTGCAAAGTACAAAGGGTCAAAAATTGGATACAATCAATGAAACTTTCGCCAAAGTGTATATGGTAGACCCTATCCACCTAAAACCAGGGCGCTATCCACTGGAAACCGAGATACGGCTGAAAAAGGCGCCGATGGGGGAATCGAACCCCAGCTACGTCGTTAGATCCGCGTAGGCAGTACCACTGCACCACGGCGCAATACGTTGAAATCCTTTGAAAGACTTTATCGCTGTACGTGAGCCGCTTCTCCGCTCACACCCTATACACCGTGCTTTCGCGCAGTTTGATTCACTTTATTGTAATACTTTATATCATTCTAAAGTTTTTAAATCATTCTGGGCGGTATCTGGTTGAACGCCCTGCCTTGTGCGCACATCGGCAACCTGCTCGACGACGACGAGATGAAGATAAGCATCGGCCTCCGTCTCGGCGCCACGATCTGTGTACCTCATGACTGTGTCAAATGTCACAAACCCGTGGATGGCTACCGGCACCTTGGGCGGTCTTGCGCCTTTCCGCCAGAAGGCATCCGCGTCACGGATGGTTAAACAGCATCTTATGTAGAAGACTTGTGTCTGCAGGTGTCCCGGCGAAACAGGAGCCGCGCGGTACTTCTTACACAGCAGAACGTCGCCCGGACGGCTGCACGACATTTGCTTGGAAACGCGGACTGCGAATCGCATGGGGCGTAACTTGCGTAGATACGGTCGCACCGTCGCATGTTAAAGCCACTTCCGCTACCGCGGGAGCGACCGCTGTGCAGGCAGAGGAAGAGAAATCCAGATTGTACTCCTATTTGGTCGGCCGCTACCGTCTCGTTCCGATCGCTTTCGAGACGATGGGGACGTGTGCTTCATCGGCGATCGCAACGTTAAAGAACTGGGAAGAAGACTGCAAGAACACACCGGAGAACTACGTTTGCATGAATTTCTACGACAGCGCTTGTCTGTAGCAATTCAACGAGGATATGCGGCGTCAGTGCTAGGCGCGATGCACTGACGCCGCATTCTCGTTTATTCCGTTTAGGTTGAAACTATTAGAACAGACACTCAAACTACAACAGAAAAATTTGGTTTAGGTTGAACAAACTAAACGAATTTTCCTGTTGTAGTTTGAGTTTCTGTTCTAATAATTTGTGTATTGCATTTTGATATGGCCAATAAAGACGAAAATGCCAAAAAAATCCTAAAGCTAAACGATTTTTATGTATTGTTCCGAAAACCGTTTGCGTGCGCAACGGTTGCCGGAACAAGGCGTACTAAAATGGGCGAAAAGTTTAAACGAAAATGGGCGAAAAGTACAAATGCAATTGTCCAGAAGTCTGGCTATTACCCGATCGTTTTGAAACTCTGCTGCAGAAGGCACATGGCCATAAAGTCGGAAATGAACCAATGCAGATCCACAGCATTTTTTCCGATTTTAAAATGAATTTAAAAAATTTTAGAATTCATTTTAAAAATATGGAAACTTCTGTGATCCTGAAATTGGTTCCCTTTCGACTTTATGGTCAGGTGACCTTTGCAGCAGAGTTTCAAGATCGGGTAATAGCCAGACTCTGGGTACACAACAATGATTCTCGGCAACCGGATGTTGCGCGCGCGCGGTTTTTAGAACATGAAAGTTTTTTTTAGTTTTTAGAACAAGAAATCATTTAGCTTTAGAATGATATAAAGTACTACAAAAAAGTGATTCGGAGTGCGCGAAGGCGAAAGTTTTAGTGTATGTGTATGTATCTTCTTTTGACAAAAAGTACCGGGCCATTTCCCTTAATCTTTGTTGAGTTCGGCAGCTTGATACGCTGAACCAAACTACCATGACTATGAATTACTCAATAGCACTTGAAGTGTAGATTTACCATCACAAATCAGTTACTGGAGAAATAGATACATGTACGTTTGAAAGAAAACTTTCAAAACCTTTAACATACAAAGTCTATGGGAAAAGCTGGCAGCCCACCACAGGTAAACCGACCATCCCACCACTATCGCAATAGAATACATGCCTTTTGACAATTCCGCTGCAGCTGGATGGAACTACGTTCCATAACAAATTATTCCGTCGCCGTACTTGCTGTTTGTTCATTTCTCATCAAAATTCGGTACCTGAAAAAGAAAACAAAACTGGACAAATATGACCGAAAAGATTCTGGGACTGGGGGACGGTTCGAGCAGTTATACTGCAAAGTGCCTTCACGGACGGGCGCGGTTGCCTTTCTGGCTGAACTGCCGGTGATTTGTAAAAGCTGATTTTTTGAAATTTACCGCTTTCCAGTTTTCAGTAGAAAAACCTGTTCAAGAAAGGCAAGTAAACAACTTAGCATCTTTAAGCGGAGTTTCCACTCGTTTGCACCCCTTTTGCTAGAAAGAAAGCCATGAAGAGCTCGTAAACAGTTCTATAGTGTACGGTACTGCTTTCAATTCTCAGAACATTGAACTACACCGATTTAAACCCAAAATGTGCGCGCAATAACCTGCTGCTGTGTTATCACCGGAAAAAGTTTAAGAACAGCAATCTGTTTACTCCGTTTGGCATGTGGTGTTCGAGACCTTCTGATACATATAACTGCCCTTCTAGAAACTTCACGAACCTGGATTTTTAAGTGATCTTTTTTGGAAACTGTATAACTACCCTAAGGGTGTTCGCTACAGTTCAACAACTCTGCCCTGCGCAAACAGTCCTCGAGGTAACCTCAAACCAAAGTTTGTCTCCCATAGACTAGTATGTTATGAGACACCCGCTGAAGGACGCGGTTGCCTAGTGAACAGATGTGGATGATTTCAAGTTGACCGTTTCCATGGGTAAAACATGGGTCAAGTTACATGATTTTAATGAATCGACAGCTATCTACCACACAGACGGGAAGATGCAAGTGCCGGACAACTGGAAGAACAACCTAACAAAGCAGCGTCTTAAAAATGTTATGATAGATATCATAATTCGTTGGGACGAAAGGTATTGGGGTTTTTGTGGAAACGAAAAACCTAAAGCAGACGCATAGTCATCTATAAACAAGATTTTATTAAAATTAGACACCTACGACCGCTCAGGGTTGTACGGCGAGCGCCCGAAAAAGGTCATCCTAAATTTTGACGGTGCCCACAGTAATGCTGCAAAGGTCACATAGTACTGGTAGAAACAGGGCTGTATTAGGCACTATCCGCAAGAGAATTGATTGGTAATTACCAAGAAATTAAGTCATCTAGACTAGAAAAGGTGTGGAATTTTTAAACGAATTGTGAATTGGGAGTTGCATCCCAGAACAGATGGGTCGAGATGTATGTATTTCGAAGCGGGTCCGTTCTAGTTTCGACATCACTGAAACTCGAGGCATGATTTCAGCGTAAAAACTTTAAATGCAGAAGTTGCTGGACACATACGCCGATCATACAAAAATCATTTTAATTCTTAACGGGTCACTTGTGATAATTTTTCGAGGAAAGTGTCCGAACTTGGCGTAGCAGGCCTGTATGCTATGGAACGTAAAGTTCCATCCAGTTGCAGCGAAACTGTTAAAAAAGCATGTTGGCTGTTGAGACAGTGATGGGTTGGTCGGTTTAGCAGTGGTGGGTTCTTAGCTTATCCCACAGACTTTGTATGTCAAAGTTTTTGAAAGTTTTCCTTCAAACTTACTTTTTTCTTGAAAGCGAATTTCTGATGGCAGATTTACGCTTTAAAGTCTATCGAATGATACATGGTCACCGCAGTTTGTATCAGTGCGTCGAGCTGACGGACTCTACAAAGATTAAGGCTTACGCGATTACTAAATAGAGTGACTCTAATTAGTAATTAGTAATAGAGTGAAAACTGCTTGTTACCTTCGCGCTTCGCGCGAAATTTGTCTGCTTGTAGCGAAATGTATTGCCAAAATCCAAATGATTAAGACTGACGTGCAGTTGGTGCACTGTGCAGTGTGCACTCATGCCGTGCACCGAGTAACTTTCCTTGGCAAAACAAGGCCTCGTCCCGATTTCAAAGCGAATCTCGCTATGGTACGGTTGCTCAACCGCGCGAGGTGGCTGTATGCAGTGGCCACGCCTTCATATACGCTACGCGAAGCCACCTCGCGGGGTGGAGTTGCTGTATCGCAACGAGATTCGCTTTGAATTCGGGACAAGGCCCAAGTTTCTTGATGAAATTTTCGGCTGGCAAAAAGTGTTACTGAGTATTACTGGTTTACTTAGAAAGTAAATTTTGAGGCGAACAGTAAACAGTAAATAAACAGTAAAGGTTTTGGCAGAAAAACAGTAACAGTAAAGTAAGACAAAAGTATGCGACACAGCGACAGTAAACAGTAAGAAAAGTCCCAAAACTGACAGTAAAGCAACACTGATAGAGTCTAGAGATACTGATTGTTAAACTGGGATAAAAAGGGCAGCAGTGGTGTTCGTGGTCAAACTGGAATTCAAAGTTGGTAAACTGTTGTCGGGTAATCTGCAGCTTAAAAAATCGCAGACTGACAAAAAATGGGATGGGAGAACAAGTTCTAAAATGACTTACAAAGTCTCTATGCACCAACTGCACGAATTTTAACTGATGGGTGACTGAACTTGAAATAAAGAAATAAGTCGAAAGCTAATGAGAAAATTTGTCCGTTTTTGGGAAAAAATTTTACATTTCGGATCATAATTATGTTGTCACATATGCCGGCTACCGATCACTTCGGCCGCGCTCATTTCGGCCAGATTTTTTTGGCCGCCACTCACTTCGGCCGCCATTCACTTCGGATGCAATTCACTTCTGCCACAGTACATTTCGGCGGAAATAGGCTTTGCCAAAGCATTAATCTGCACCGTGTAATCGAAGTTCTCGTTATGGCAAAACTTTGATCAGTTTCTATTTCATTTTGCACGCAAAATCAGTTTGAGCTATTTTTGTAGTGTTAAGTACTGTAACCATCATGTCACCCTTTCAATGACACGAAGTCACGGTCACGAGAGAGTACTGAGAACCTAACCGTATCACACAGAAGAAAACATGAAAAGTGAAAAACAATCTTCATACCAGAATCATCTTCACAAGAAAACCTAAAGAAAACATAAAAAACCATAACAAATCTAAGAAAACCTAAAAAAACTAAAAAACCTAAGAAACCTAATGTAAATAAGAAACCTACTTACTCTACCAAACCATAACAAAAATTTAAAAAACCTAAAGAAAGAGACCTAGGGAAGCCAAAATACCTCAAAAACCTAAGAAACCATAACACATCTGAAAAAACCTAAGAAGACCAAAGAAAGGTAAAAAACGTAAAAAACCTAATAACCTAAGAAAACATAATAAATCTAAAAACCTTAAGAAAACATAAGAAACCGCATATATAAGAAAATTTAAGAAAACCTAGAAAACGTAGGCAACCTAAGAAACCTGTGATGGCCGAAACCTCCAGTTGCCGAATTGAGTGTTGGCCGAAGTGAGCCACGGCCGAAATGAACGTTGGCCGAAGTGAGCCTGTGCGGTCGAAATGTAACGCGGCCGAAGAGATCGGACGCGACACCAAACGAACAAACTAAGAAATCTAAGAAAGCTAACAAACCCCAGAAACCTCAGAAACCTAAGAAACCTCAGAAACCTAAGAAACCTAAGAAATCTAAGAAACCTAAAACCTAAGAAACCTAAGAAATTTAAGAAAATATACGAAAACCTAAGAAAGTCTTAGAAAGACTAAGGAAACCTAAGAATAAAACCTAAGAAAGCTAAAAACAAGGCTAACAAATCTGAATACCTAGTGAGAATTAAACGCGGTGAATTATTTTACGACGACTTGTCGCATCGCTCGAAAAGTCCCAAGATGAATTGTCCGCGACCCGACATCTTAAGTCGAAATGTCACAAAAGTAAAATGACGGGAATGCGAAAACAAGCTGCCGTTTGAGTGCAAATTTCAATATACGCCCAGTTGCAGCGTTAATTCAATATACGCCCAGCTTTTTCAAAGCAGCTTCAATTTTGTAGAAGCAGGCAATTCTACTTAAAAAAACCCTGTGCGTATGAGAAAATCCAAAGTTGAAGGTGAAGTTGTAAATTCAAACGGCGATATTCGTAATTGCAAGACGGTAGTAGGTGAGCAATAACACAAACACAATCTGAATTTCGGACATGTTCGGCAACAACCCCCAGCGTCCCCCCACACCCCAAAACGATGTTGCCAAAATTTTAAGTTTTTGGCAGCATCACAAGCTGCTTGCCAGAGCCATGCTGCCGAGCAAGACATGATTCCAAACGGGACGAAAAAGGCTAGCCAATCACAATCGTTCAGTGACGTCATGAATTTTTAATTTCCGCCGGCAGCATCAAAAACATTTATCGCCAGCAGCACGCCCTGAGTTTTCGCATTCGCATCAATGTATCAAAGCATGCTGTCCCAAACCGAATTGTCCCAGCGTCTGAATGCCGGGCGGCGAAAGGTCTTCGCAGCGAAAAGTCGGGCGTCGAGTTTGAGTGCGGCGAAATGTCACACTCCCAGCTGTCCGGGTGCGCACTGCGCACATTCTCGAGCTCATAAAAGCTATAACTCAAAAAATAACATTAGTTTATGGGTCAAATTACATATTATTGTAATTAACGAGAAATCGAGATTCAGGATCTCATAACCTAGCGCCATTGACTCGTTAACTGGAACTTATTCTTAGTTTAGTTTAGTTTAGTTCAATCACTGAGCAGATAAGCCTTTAAATCACTTGCAACTTTCGTCAACTTCATACATTAACCGATTAACGCAACATAGAACAGGAAAATTTCTATTTGGAGAACAAACAGATAAGTTTTAAGTGAGCCACAGCCGAACAAATCGTTTCCGCTTCGCTTTTTTTAAACAAATATTCTACTTTTCAGCTGTCAAACCTCATTGATAGGGTAGTTTCTCCAGTTTTCGGCTTCGCTGCTTGTCAGTACTTCTAATCATTCTTTCCGCCGAAATCGTACCTGCTACAGATGTTCTCAAATGGTACAGTTAAGGTAAAGGTATCCACATTTACAGATAAGTATATCAACATATAATTATACATAATTGAATACCCAGACTGCTTACTGCCGTTTTGGACTGCAGTGGCAGGCCGCTCATGGACCGCCTTCACTAATGTCTTGCTTAAGGTTCATCACGAAGGATGTGTGATTGGGCAGCTTCGGGAAACCGACTCACACCCTTTTGCCTCACAATCGTTTGCATGAAAAACGTGAGCCTTGCAGCATGCAGTTTTGTTCTACAACTCACAACATTAACTTCAAACGTGCATCAAGCCGAAGTGTGTGGGGGGACTTCAGTCACTTTACCCGTACTGTATCACGGTAATGGTCATTTGTGTCGCCTTGTGTCGCATCATCAGCTTCTCGTGCACTCTCAAGAAGCTGCTGACCATTTCAAAAAAATGTACAACTCTCAAATTTGGTAACAAACCAGAAAGGTTAACATGCAATAAAAATAAGTACGGTACTGTTCATATACAGATACGTGCGTAAAGAAGAATGCAGACAGACCAGCGTCTGTAACACTCAACTTCAAGCAGAGAATCAGCACTGCTTTAACGCGTGGTAATGCTGCTTATGTACAGGAAATGTTCTGTATTGGTAAGAGGTTCGATGATGTGTGATTGTGTATTATGTGCTGAAATGATGTAACGCGTAATTTTGGGTTTATCCAATGTTCACGTGAATAATTCAATAAAGCTCCTATCGTGCTTTTAAATGTACGCCTTGTGGAAACATTAAACATAAAAATGCCCGACCGAATTTCTTTACATTTTTCAGGGTATGTTCGTTGTGGGACACGCTGGCAAACGCCAAGGGATTCTCATCCATAATAATAATTGACTTCAATCACATCTGCACTGAAAGGATGATTCGCTGGGACACAAAAGGATACTGCACTGGCTTTGTACTGAATCAGAACATCAAAGGTCATACGAAAGTTCTTGTGCTGCTCAATATGATAGAAGAACACGAAATGTCCGCGATGGAAAACGTAATTTCCAGTTTCCTGATCGTGAAACGCAAACGTTTATCAACTATCGTTGTGAAGAATTATTACCGAAAAGTTTGTTTGCCGTTTTCTGCTGGGTTGCAATCTACCCCAATAACTATGTGGCTGGCAAGACGCTGCAGAATATTGATACTGTTGAACTTCAGTGTTACGATCCCCAACAGCACCCGACCATATTATTTTTATAAAATGCCAGGCTACCGCCAAGCGGACGATAGCGTGCGCCTTTTGATCACCATTCCTTTCATAAAAATTGATGGTGTGCACGATGATATTAAGAACATCGTACGTCGGTTTAAAGCCGCGTTAAACGAACACTGTCCGATCTTGGATGATGTGATCGCAGATAAGTTAAAACAACTGTATGCCAACTGGATTCGAACAGTTCCGCAAACCCCGCCGAATGACGTATGCTGGGGAGGATTTAAATCTTATCTCGCACTGTAAGTCGCTTAATTCGACGATTAAAAGTCTAGGATAGTAAAATTGAATAGCAATTCTATCGAGGTGATTCTTTGGCGACCGAACTTTTCCGTCTCTCATTACAACCGCAACTACGCAACCTGCTTATTATAAAAGACGGTCGATTAACCAGAGCGCAATAAGTCATACTTTGTGCGGCCTTATACTAGGTCCATACTTCCCTCGTAATTTGGAGTACAACAGATAGAGCGGGGGGAAAAGGTGGCAGTGACACCTGCCACTGGCAGGTGTCACTGCAGGGGATAAAAGGTGGCAGGTGCCACTGCCACCTTTTATCCCCTGCCGTACAATAGAAGTCTATGTAACAACAGTCGGAGAAAAACTATGGACGAAAATCAGTTTTGTTTATAGCATTTCCTGCTGTAGTTGTCAGAGATGTTTCAATCTAGACAGTTTTTTTTTAATCAGTGTTGCAGGAGGGAGTGATTTTTTCCGTTCTTACATTTGAAGCTCCATGGGTACATTTTATAAATTAAAAACAATGCCGTTAATGCTGCTTGTTATTAAAAAAAAGCAGTATATCTCCACCAGTGCTTCTGTTACAAGATCCTAATTTACGTTATTTGAGCGACGGTTGTTGGCGACAAAAATTAACAAGTGTGGTTGGATATGGTAAGAATCGCAGTTATAATTAATGAAGGTGGAATGCTCTATTACGGTTTACGAGTGCTGAAGGACAAGAGATTTCGGGAATTTGCATACTTTCGTTAGTTAGTTTCTAACGGAAGGTAGAGCCGCAGGCACGTACGCCGAGATGAGGCGTGATGAGATGAGCGCTTAGCAGCCTGTGCTGCACTTCGATTTAACGAGAAAGAAACGGGATTGTAAAATGCCTATTTAATTTTGGTAATTTGCCTTTGCGCTGTAGATATAAAGCGGCAGGAAACCGATTGAAAATCACAAAGTTTTTGATCAAAAACCTTGCGATTTTCAATCGGTTATCATGATAACCTGATTGTTAAACGGGGCAAAGGTGACAGTAGGTTTGACTGTTAAGTCCCAATCAGTTTTTCCTATAGGCTGCAGGTTAATTTCAATTCTCATGGTAACGAATGCCCTGAAGTCGGGGCGACTCGACGAGATAGGGAAATGGTCAACGAAATGGCAGAAAATAATATTTCAAATCCGTTACTGAGCGGATAAAATTACTAAGTGAATTTTCGCTACTAAGTGGATAAAAAGTATTTTTAAATTTATTCCTTCGCTTTGGTCAGGCAGTGCCTGCCAGAAGCGAGTGCACTTTCCTAGTTGTACAATTCGCTCTTAAAAGTACTACTCGTACTTAGATCTGTATAACTCGATCAATCTGTCTGTGTAGATCTGTATAAGTCGTACTAGAGCTGGCGAACCGTACTGAATTTCAAGACGGTTACGTACGGTTTCAGCTTATGCCTCTACGCTTACGGTAGAAATAACCGGATTGACCATACCGTATACCGTATACGGCAGTACCGTATACGGTTCGCCCATGCTAAAACCTGAATTTTGGCTTACGGTTACGTACGGTAAGTCATTTACCGTAGCTGTCTGCCGTTTCCTATACGGTTACGTACGGTTTTACCGTACCGTATACGGTAGTACCGGGTACGGTTTGCCACCTCTAAGTCGTACGTTACGCATTTTTGCAATAAGTTATCCATCGCTTATCTAATCCGGGCAATTTGCGCGGGCCGGGCCAGGCGGCGGCGGCCTAGTGATGGAAAAACTAAACTAAACTAAATTTGGTTAAACTCCCCTTACATGTTGAAGCAGCGAAATAAAGAATTTGTTGAATATGTTGATGCAAACTGATAAAATGTTGTCAGCCTTTACTGTCATAATGGTTGGTACGGTTACAACATCGTCGATAAATTTGCGTAGTTCACAGTTTCACGTAAATGATCGAAACAAATTCGGTACTGGTATTCTCTGCAGGTTCGACTGCAACGATACACCGGATAGCGTGTGGGTTAACTTTGACCCGAGCAACTTCGATGAAAGGCTTTTTGGAAACGTGCCAAAAGCGATCATGGCACGAGATTATTTGGGATGGTCACCTTCTGGGCAAGCCCCTTGTTTACTGGACTGTCAATGAAACAAGGAGCTGCTAGGCTTGTTTGATCGCGCTTTCTTGTTGCTGAAGTTTTGGCATGCATGTCAAGAACGTCATGGAGGCTAGAAAAACGTTAGTTGCGTCTTTGTCGAGCACTGTGAATTGTAACCAAGCCTCTCCTATTGTTATGCCTTATGCGATGAACTGTATTAGCTTTAGTAAGGTTTTTTTTTGTTAATTCAATTCACCAACAGGTTTTACCTTTTAATTACATTAATTTGTTTTTTCGGGAAAAAATATAGAAATACTAAAGATACAGTTTTCTGTAGTAATAATAGATTATCATAAATTATTCATGTGCAACTTGTACCGTATACAGCAGTAAAATCAATGTCCAGGTCGTGCACACGTGATTATGTTAAGTTAGGTTGCCTGATAAGTTTGAACTGGGTACGACGCGCCTAGTTCAGTAATTTCAGTGGACTACTATAAACCTGTTTGGACCACTATACTAACCAGTGTGACAGCTGGCGAACAAAGGCTCACGATAGTGAGAGAAGGCTTTATTGTGATAGCAATAAAGTGAAGAACCAACATACAAAGGTTCGAGGTGCGAGCAGTATCGTGAAAGTATAGTGAATGATAATGCTAGTGAACAAAAGTGAACGGCATATCGAGCCAAAGCATGGAAAAAGCCTAATGCGGCACTGGGCAGATCCAACACGAGCGAATCGAACGCTGATAGGCCGAGATGTAGAAGTGGGGCGTGGCTCCGCCTACATCGAGGCCGATGATTGGCCGAGACGTAAGGCTGGGCGGAAAGCTGCCTGAGTCGAGGCCGATCTAGCGCTCGACAGCGAGTGCGACTCGGTGTGAGTCAGCACACCGGAAGCGGGACTGTCGCTGGCTGCCATACTCGTAGGCTGCCATAGCGACTGGCCCAACATGCTTCTGGGCGGGAGTCCGAGCCCCTGCGAAGGACCGGCCTCATACCGCTCCAGTGCCCGCTCCGCACACGACCCTATTGGGGTCGGTGGCTGCGCCTCGGAGGTATCCTATGGTGGGGGTGTCTCGTGCCGCATTCTCCTCCGGACCCGTGGTGGCGATACAACTCACGGCCGAAATCCGAAGGTCGGTCGGTGGTATTGTTGGACCGGTGTAGGCATCTGTTGGTGGGGTCCGTAACGGCGAAAAAGTAAAAAAGATAAGGTATTATTCCATCTGTCTCTCTCTCTAGTAAAAATAACATCACAATTCCTGGTGAGCAGGTTAAAAAAAGATCAATAAAATGAGAGCATCATTTCGAGATTAGAAAAAGTAAACTCAAAGTCTTTGGTCCGGGGCTTTGGGCCGGGTGCTTATTCCGACTAGAGCTCGTCCGCTTAACGGGGGCTCCAGTCCACTGGAAGTCCGGTCATCTAGGTCCGAGGCATCGGTTCTCGGGATACCCAATGGTACCGGTTCAATTCACCGAGGGTCGGAGGTTCGACCCTATTGACTTCGGGTAAAGGGTATGGATCTCCGGTGTCGGGTGCGAAACGGGCGTGAAACACACTTTCCGACCGGGATCCTCCGGTAAAAGTTTGATTGGAACCCACTTTGCCGGGTAGGACAGGTCGTACTTACATCCAGCCGAGGTTCGTCGGGTGAGGTTGATGGAGAGGCACTGTCGCATGCGTGAATACCATAAGGTACCCTCTCTGGGTGCGAAATAAGGCCTATTGGGCCTTTGAATCGTTGGATCCTCCGGGGAAGTCCGGTGATCCGAAGTTTGATCCGGGCAGAACCGTAATGTTGTGTCCTGTCACACTGCACCGCGCGGTGTAAACTACGTTCTGGTCCGAATGGTGAAATGGCCTCTGTGCGGGAGTCCGACTCTGTGCCCGGTTGGCTTCAAGGTTTTGAAGTCCGATGGTAGCCTCGGTGGCCGAGGGTCAGCTCCGGTTGCAAAATTAGAGTCCAAGCTCAGCCTCGGTTGCTGAGTCTAAGTCCATTGGCAGCCTCGGTACTCAAGTTAGAGTCGGGGTTGTACCCTCGGCTGCGCTGGCAAATAGGTACGGTGATGTTCCGCTCGGCTGAAAATCCTAAGTTCGTCCCTTGTCACCTATTGGGTAACTCGGAGAGGATGTTCGCCGGGGTTCGAAGGGTCGAGGCAGCCTCGGTACTAGAGGTAAAGTCCCGATGTACCCTCGGCTATGATGGCAGGTCGTGATTACGCGATGTGCTGGGTGTTCTGTCCGGTCAGGAATCCCAGATCCCTCTCTGGTTACCTATTGGGTAACACGTGGAGGGTGGGTTCCGGACTTTGAAGGTTGAAGTCCGAGGGTCCGAGGGTCGATTAGCCTCGGCTGATTGGTAGTTGACGATCTGATGGTCGCTTCCTCCCGGCAAAACCCTTATTAACGGTGTGGGTCGCCTATTGGGCAACTCTACCGAGGGTCTCACCGGTAAGATGAAGTTGCTACCCTGGGCGACCTCCGTGTCCGGGGTAGCCTCGGTGGTGAGGTAGTCAGCATCTGGTAAGGCTGGTCCTAAGGCATCCTGCCCGGGCAAAACCCTTTTTTTAAAGTCTCCCGTCACCTGTTGGGTAATATGGAGAGGGTTAATGCCTCTGGACAGGGTCCGAGCAGGTATCCGAGGGTCAGTTAGCCTCGGTGTCTGGGGTCAATCGGCCTCTGGACAGGGTTCGAACCTCGGTAACGAGACTGGCCCAACATGCTCTGGTGGGAGTCCGCTTGATGCTGGAGATGTCCACCGGGTAACTAGCAAGAATCATGCAAAAGAGGCTCCTCAGCGGCTGTATAAGACCTAATTGGGTCTAAGCCGCGAGACAGACACTCTAAGTGTTAAAGACGGAGTCCATGCTGGTCCGTTCCCTCGGCTGATCCCGTGCTTCCACTTAGGCGGAAACACCCGGGATGCCGGAACGATGCTGGGACTAAGGGCCTATTGGGCCTCAAAGGGCATCTTTGCCGAGTTAGAGTCCGTGATTAGCCATGGTCTTCGGTGGGTGAGGTAGAGATCGTGGTTCTACGCGATCTGCGAAGGCTTGCATCCTCCGAGGGTCCTTCTGCCGGAGGAACAGGCCGGTGGAGCGAAGCGGATCGCGCCGCGCAGCACCGTCCCGTAACTTTTTTGGCGGCCTATTGGGTACCTTACCTGGAACCTATTGGGTTCAAGGGGAAGTTATCGAGGGTTCATGTGCCATATTCGACTTCGCTTCAAACCGTCCATTTCCGGAGGGTGAAGTCCATATTTTGGTGGTCCTGGCCAGAGCGGTCAGGTTCCAAGTCGGCCAAACCTCCTCTGGCCAGGGCCTGAAGGTTGATCAGGCCTAGCTGAGCACTTGCCCCGGAACCTATTGGGTTCGCAAGGTAGTTGTTAAGCCTTTCATGGGGTGGGGTCCGGTCAGGTCCGCTTCTTTGGACTCTGTCTTTCGATCCGAGGTATTTCCGTTCCCGCGATGTAGGTACCGTTGCTTCCCGCATCGGAGGAACGGAACTTAGAATTTTGATCCACGGGTGGAGGCCTATTGGGCCTCGTACCCCGGAGCCTTTAGGGTCCGGTGAGGTATCGAGCAATCTCCGTATCCCTTATTGAGGGTCCGGTGAGGTAGCTGATCCTGGTTAATAGGCGCGGTCTGCGTTGGTAGCTTGTCGTGGTTCGAACTGCGGGATGGTCGGCCGACGATCTGCGGCTCCTCCGATTGGGTTCCATCTGGGGTATACGTCTCTATTGGAGACGTCGCCATGTCCGTGTGACCGGTTTTGCGGTTAGCCTAACCCTATTGGGGTCCAGCTACCGGTCTCTCTTATTCTAAGTCCACGTTGACCGGGGCTCCACCACCCAAGTGGGAGCCTTCCGAGTCATCATCCTTATCCCGTCGTCCTGGGTGGTTTGAGGATGTAGCCTCCTGGGTACAGGCTGACTGCGATTCCGAGGCTTCCTGTCCGGGCTTTTCGGCTTTAGTTCGGCGGGCTTTGCGTCGTCGGCGGTTCCTGCCCGAGGATGACGAACCAGGCCACATATTATACCTGTAGGATGACTTACCCTCGGGCATCGGTGGAGATGTGAACCCGGGTGGCAAGTGGCGATGGGTCCGGCACCATTCCGAGAGGGTCGACGCCTCGTCGACATCCTTTTCGTCGTCTGGGTGGTACTGGTACTCCTTGTGCCATCGCTCTGCTGTCAGCAGGAAGTCACGCAGCCATAATCCCACCACTGTGTCTCTCACTGGCGTACTCAGCTGGGCCACCGCCGTCCGTAGTCGGGGCGGGATGTTGTTGTTCCGGTACGCACAGTACAGAGTGTAATGGCTGTGATGGTGGCCAAGTCGGGCCGCGAAAATCAGTCGCAAAGCCGTCTGGAAAGCCATCGGAGCATCTCCCCGGGCTTCGGTTTCAATGTTGCCAAGGTATTCAGGCAAACCCTGGGCCGCTCTGGCTGCAGTGATCACCATGGCTGTTTGTGCCTCGGTGAGTACGAACTGCGCCACCCATTCCGTATGGTCCGTGACCTCTCGTTCCGAGGCATACAACGGGAGCTGACTCAGCTGAGACCAGTCAAGATGGTCGAATGGCAGTCCCAAGGTTGCTGGGTCGGTCGCGCTAGGCAAACCGTTCGTCCGGTAGTACGGGAATCCGATGCCATAGGCCAACCGATCATTCATCTCAAAGTCCTCCGACAATTGCCGATGTTCAAACATCTGTTGGTATCCGGAGCGGTCGAGGAAGGTTCGAAGGTCGTTGACCAGGTGCCAGACTTGGTTGCGTCGGTCTTCCCGGTACTGCATGGTTCCCATGATATAATTCGTCCGTTCCGTCAGGTGTGGGATTTCCACCGCAATGCCCTGTCGGCGTGCATGGTCGTACCGAGGGTCATGCTGGCCTGGTACTACCGGGTCCGGGTCGGGTAATGGACGTTATCCGGGGCTGGTAGGTCGGACTCGTCAGTGTCGACGTGATGGTCCCACATTTCTTCCTGGGGACCCACGGCTAGGTGTTTAGCCGAGCCAGGTTCCAGCTGGTCCGACTCATTGAGCCTCCGCTTGACTGGGGTATCTTCCATTTCGATCTCCGGGGATGCCGAGCGTTCTAAGTCCCGGTCCCACTGTTGGATGTTGTCAACCATCCGCTGGAGAAATGGAGGAAGCGAAGAGACTGTCGCTGGCTGCCATACTCGTAGGCTGCCATAGCGACTGGCCCAACACAGCTGCCATAGCGACAGCCCGCTTCTTCTGATAGTCATCGCCCATCTGCTGCGCAATCTCCTTCATCCGTTCG